TTTCCCCCTCACAACAATCAGCCGGAACAGTATTTTTGCTTATTTTTCAGTCCTACCGAACATGCCCTATGTTATAATAAAAGAATTCATAGACCTACTCTAAGGACTTTATCATTCAGTAAAATTATCTGGAGGAAACCAGCCAGCCGGCTGGTTCCCCTCACACGGCACTGTTCATCCATTCAGCCGAACAGTGTTTTTTTCTCACAACAAACCAGTCGGAACAGTATTTTTCAGCCAAGTTTCAGACCAGCGAACGGGGTCATTTAGCACTGATATTTTATGGGCATAAATTATACAGGGATCATTAGAGGGAGTTGAAGTTGTAGAAACACATGGGGCCAAAAGTGTGCCTGTAATAGACTAATAGGACACAAATACATATATGTAATCGTAATAGGAGCAGTAGGGACTGGCAAATGCCAAATTGAGCCTGTATGCATAGATCTCATTCAAGTTTATATGTCATAGATAAATTAGATTAATGAAATCAATGCTTGTTGAATGCATACTGTTGAAGGTGCTCATCAACCAGTAGATGGTTGGGAAGCTTGTCTGGGTGGTTAATAGCCAAATGACCCAACTGTATAGAATAAACCAGTAGCATAGTCGATCGAAAGCGGTGGAAACATTCATGTATATATGGATAAAGGAACAAACAAAGGACGAAAAAAATTACTCAATAATGTCAAGGCAAAACTGCATTCCTAGCACATCCTGAAGGACCTGAAGATAAACATGGAAATTATTAGCAAAGGCTGAACAGATCCTTGCATTCTTTAGTTGATCGAGGTACTTTACAACTGTAGCTCCGTTTTGGAACAACAAAATTTTGCTTTCCAGCTACAACCCAAAGCCAAGTGAAAACGGTGGAATATGCTATATTGGCCTTTTATCAAACAGTTCAGCGGGCAGCGGCATACTTAGAAGCATATAGAGAAGATATATACATTCAACACATTATCCAGGTTGATGATCTGACAAAATAGGAGGCAACATATGTTACCTTAAAGCTAGCAATACGTTCTTGCTGAGGCAAGATTGCTTCAGGCTTCGGCTGCAGGATGTTGAAGCAGAGATGCTACATGGGGACAGGCACAGACGGTGACTTGGGAGCAAATGGACGGGATGCCAACACCATCGACGCCGCGTCGCCCAGGCCCCCGCTGCTGACAGCGTCATGAGGTACCGCTTGACGCCCCCACCGGCCTCTCTGTTTGCAGTGGTGGGGGAGCCGAGGATTGGAAGAGGCAGGAGTGGAGGAGGCGCGGGCAGTGCGGAAGCGGAGGATTTGGATGCGACGGAGGGTCCGAGGATTGGGAGAAGACGTGGAGATGTTCTTTATAGAAATGGTCTTTTAGATCTGTCTTTTTTCTTTTGATTTTCTACTTTGTTCTTCTAATTTGCCTTTAATACAACTGATATGTTTAATCTGTATTTTATTTATTTATTTTTGTTTTGTTTTTTATCTTTTTCATTTCGTTCTTTGGATTTTGTTGTGGTTATGGGAATCGGGTTCTTTGGATTTTGTTGTGGTTATTGGAATCGGTGACAGATCAGCTTGAATCACTCGATTTCTTTTGTACGGTAAATTTGAGTGATTTTTCTGTCAGTCGCTTGGGTGACAGGAGGGTATAAATCACAGTAGACAGACCTTTTTTTTTTTTTTGCACACGCACGAATTCTTTTTCTGGGCGTGGAGCTGCAACGCAGGGCCCAGAAATACCACGCGGCTCGGAGGGAGAGGGCATGAAGCGCATAGGCTCTCGGAGGAGTGACCCAACTTGATTGGCTGATCGTACAACTACAATAACTAGGAGCGCTTAGAAGACGCGGATGCTACGTGCTATATGAAGCCCGTGTTTAGTTGAGTGAGTTTGGAATTTGGGCTATCGTAGCATTTTCGTTTTTATTTGGTAATTAGTGTTCAATCATGGATTAATTAGGCTCAAAACATTCGTCTCGTAATTTTTTATCAAACTGTGCAATTAGTTTTTTTTCCGTCTACATTTAATGTTCCATGCACGTATCGTAAGATTCGATGTGATGGATACTGCAGCACTTTTTGGGAATTTGGAGGGGAACTAAACACGGGCGAAGTTTCATATATATATGACAAGACAACTTGAATAACAATTTGTGCGTAGAATATACTCTCTCTGTCCATGAAAACATGCAATTATGGGTCGTGTGCTAGAAAAAATAGTTTACGTTTGACTAAGTCTTTAGTAAATAGTATTTATATTTATGGCTTCAAATTAATTTATTATGAAAATACATTTCATAATTAATCTAATGATATTTATTTGATATCATAAATATTGATACTTTTTTATCTATAATTGTTTAAACTTAAGATACTAAAACGTAATACCATGCTAGAATTGCATGTTTTGCTGGATGGAGGGAGTAGTATAAAAGGTCTAACAGCCTTACACTTTTTTCTCGATCTGTATTCATAATTTTTTTGTCTCTATGGATGGTCAAATGTAACTAAAAAATGCACCAAAGTTTAGCTGACATGGATCAAGCTTTGGATTGAAAATTCGAAATGATACACCGCATGCATAAAGAAAAAAAGCGGGTGAAACGAAGCAGCAACCCAAGCAAAAGATGAAACGCGCAGAATGTGCCGTTGTGGCCATGTGTAATAGAGTTTTACTCAAATGCAGTTGCCTGATATTTTACTTTCTTTTGTCAGTTAAATTTCTTAGAACATCACATGTATACTGTCGGAACATCATTAATGCATCACAGAACATTATAAAATACATCACAGAACATTACATGTATTTTAGGAACCGCCTGAGAATATTAAAATACATTAAAATACATCACATAACATAACGGAACACCACATGTGTATCACTTAAACATCTCAAAATACATCATAAAACATCACATGTATACTACGTGAATATCACGACATTATAGAATATCATGTACTACGTGAATATTACATGTATATCACGTGAACATCACAAAATACATCACAGAGTATGACTGATGGTTAAGCAAACCATATGTCACCTGCCACAGAAACAAACCCTATGTAATATTGATTATCACATGCATCTCCGACATGAAAGGAAGGTCGTGTTCCCAGGCTCCATGGCCGCCGACACGCTGTACTTGGGATTCGACAGCTTGACGACACACATGACATGGAAGCATGCATGGTGGACGATGATAGCCCGGTTCATCTCACGATGGATGGATACAGTGGCGGAGCCACCGCTCGGCCACCCCGAGCGGCCGGACGGGCTCGTCGCCTGACGCTCAAAAGAAAAATTTATTTATATTAAAGTAAAATCCTGTAATTTTCTAGCTAAATATTTTTGCATAATAAAAATTGTCTGCTGGCTCCGCTAATGGATGGATATGGAAACCTCCGAGTCCCAGCGTCGTTCGACGTCGTTGGTTCAGGCGCAGCCTGACGGCGGCATGCATGCCACTGTTGTATGGACCTCGATCAGGGTGCTGATTTTGAATGAACGAATGAAAGTTCTTTCATAAATCAAAAGAAGAAGAAATGATATATATTATCCTGGATAAAAAACACGGTCAGAGAGGCTCACAGCAGCTACTACCTTTTTCAAATAGATTGGTCTTTTGTGAGGTAAGTGCTTTGGCATACCACAAAAAAAGTACCCGAATCCAAATGATGGAAGAATATCGTCATTTCGAACGTTTTGTTGGGGGGCTATATATGGATGGCAAAGGCTCCCTTCAGCTACGTACTGTAGCTATGATATGAATGGCAGTTGTTTGGCTTTCGTACGGCGACTGCGATGGCGTGCAGAGACACGGCTTGGGTTCCAACAGAACCGTTGGTTTGGGTCGGCGCGATGGCGACCTTCCCTTTTCTGCTTGCTGCCTGCATGCATCGACTGGAGTGTTTGTCTACGTCCTCAACGGATTCGACAGCGATGGCCTAGAGGAGCTTCACTACACTTGCGTTCCAACACGTTGCTCCGTGATAGTAGATTAATTTATGCTCCCTAAGCTGTATTTTAATATTTTCTCTTGTAAGTTTATCTTTTCAAGTTGCCAAATATATTTGTGAATTTTTTTTGGCGGGGGGTGGTGTACTTGTACAGTATGTTAGATGGGCTACACAGTAGCAGGTTGACCTAACACGGCTACGTGGCCCACCTCAAAGCACGGCAGCTAGGACGGGAGCCATCAGGTACTACCACACTTGGCCCACCGGGCCGGAGGCACAGAACACTCTTTTCCTTCCCCCTTTCTGACGACATCAGGGACAGAAACATTTTAATGCACAGTATCAGATTCTTCCCTAAAAAAAAAAAATCCACTCTTAGACAAAGTACAATTTCACATTTACATCCAGAAGATCAATCTTTATCCACAGTTCAAAAGAAACGTCAGGCTCTGATGCACTGTTGGTGGCACAACGGTGCTACCTGCTATTCCTATATGAAGAATGCATGCCACTGTGACAGCATAAGCTTCTACACCGCGTCTTCTTCCTCTTACGACACGGGTTTTCATACAGTTTCAACCAGCATATAAAAAAAAATACATGAAACTATATCACAACATAGCACTGCCATCTTCTCTGCCGTCAATGTCTGTTATTCTGTAAGCTATTCACAGTTTTCCCTACAATTGCAGCCAAGATCAAATGATGTCCAATCTGACATTCCGATTACTGTCACTAGTTTAGGTCAGGTGTCACTCATAACTCTGCCACCTCGCTGTCTCACTGGAAAAACAACAACATGAAAAGAAAAGTGGGTTCAAATGAAATTTCCCAAATGGGAGAGATGTGAGAAAAATAGGTTTCACTAAATATTCCAACTTCCAAGACCAATGCACAAAAAAACAGAACTGATGATGGTTACGGGTAAACTAGTGGCAATTGCCAGACTGAGACTCATGATAGGAATAGCACCAGGAAATGGCTGTAAATAACATGGGCTAGATTTTTTTATTAGGTTGTGTCAGATTAGGCTATGTGATTTATTGGGTTACCATCACGTAATCAAATGATCAAGGTTCAGGAATAAGCTTTTTTTATGAGTGATAATCACCTCATCAGTGAGGAGCATACTGTCCAAAACAGCAAATCCTGCAGCAACGCCACCCTCATTTGAAGAAGAAACTTTGGTGCGCATCAAGTAGCCAGACTGATTATTCAAGATCACCTTATCTTTGTTCCTGAGATAGATCAAATAAGAGTGGCACAATCATTTCACTAAGGGAAAAAGGGTAAAATGGCACATTTGTAGGCATATGGGGACAAATGTTTGAAACTTCACTGATTTAATTACCGCAAGTAGGCTCCATATATTCCTAGCTCTGAGATTGTAAGGTCCTCAAACCAATCGCCATCCCTAACTAGAGCAGTAAGAGAGGCTTTTGGAAAAATCCTCTGCATCAGTATGTACGCTGCAAGTGACTCCCCCTGTTCCTTCTGGAGTTTGATCAGCGTGTCTCGTAAATCATGACCATATATGTTGTTCCCTGAAGGAAATGATAAGGAATTCAGAATCCTGAAGACATCTACCACCAAACAGGATCTCTCAAAGTGCTAAGAAAAGATACCTCCGCCTTCTCGCTGAGGCTTCAAGACAAACAGATCAGGTTTCTCTATTGCAGATTTCACAATCTCTTCATTATCCAAGCTCCATAACCCTGCAAAACTCTTGCGTAGTTTGGCAATGTCCTCCTTGTTGTCAAGAAATCTATAGATAGACCAGGGACAGGTTTAGGTTCTGCTGATGCTCTAGTTCAGATCACGAACAATGCAATTCAGAGTTGGTCAACACATTTGAAGTATAGGCTACAACACTATAAGGTAAAATGCCAGTTGATCAATGATGTTGTAATTTGTTTTGTTGAAAACCTAGTGCAACTGTGAAACAGCGGAATATCAACCAGCCAATCACCCATTAGTACTGAGAAAACTCAAATCACCTTTCAAGAACATTAGGTTTTGCTAGTTCTTGCTGGATCTTTTTTGTTCCTACTAAATGGTAGGCTATCGAAGGGCACTTTACTGCAGATGATTGTTCCATCAGAAGCCTCGCTCTCCATTCCTGGAATATGACAGTATTATGTCAAGGTGGAAAAGTGGTGTATTATCATAACAAAACAAATTATTACACATCCTCAACCAAGCAATAAAACCATTTGGGTAAGAATATCTTTCCAATAGAGACTGAAATCCATGCACAAAAGAAGTTCACTGCTTCATCAAGGCAAGCGAAACTAAGCAGCATTGCAACAGATATATATGATGTTTTCAAAACAATTACAGGAATAGTTATTTTCACTCAAAATTCAGAATATATTTCTGTAGAAAAGTTTTGAATTAATAAATATTAGATTGCATACCGCTTCCGAAGGGTAATCAGTCAGTGCATACCCGGCTCTGAAATACACAACAGCCACTATCCGACCATCTCTGCAATTCATAAATTTACATATTATAAATACTAACAGTAACAATAAGCCTTTCTCCATGTCTGTATAAGATACTTACATCACAAGTGTTCCATCTGTAGGCACCTTCCCTTCAGCCTCTACTTGTGCCAACGTTTTCCTTATAGTTGCCACACCATATGTGATGGCTAGTTAAGGAAAGCTCCATTTTTCATGCTGTCAGATTCTCTTAATACCAGACAAAAAATAAAAGCAAATGGTTACCGAATCCTTTAATGGTTCTCTGAAGTTATATCAGGCAGGCAATATGTTGAAAGAATAATACAGCCCAGGGACGCCTCGTCGCTCATCGCGGCGCGCGCCACCCGGCGCCGCCCGCGGAGCGCGGGCGGCGCGAACGAGGCCGAGGCTGGGGCGGGCAGGCGGCCGCCGGCGCGGAGAAGGCGGAGGCGGAGGCGGACCTGGTGGTGGTGCGAGACGCAGGGGGAGGACATGGCGTGGGGGAGGGAATCGATTCGAAAGCGGGCGGCCGGCGCTCCCGCGATTTATTATTATGCCGTTGTGCTCCGGCTTCGTGGGGACTTCGTGCCTCCCGGCGGCGAAGGCTGGAGATGGGATGGGAATGGATTCCTCCTGTTCCTAGTCCGATGTGGCGGGTCAGAGTCGGGAATCTCCGGCGGTCGGGCTTAGAGGCGCCCAGGTGCTTCCTCCCGAGTCGTCACGGCGTCAGGGCGGACGTTGCTGCTGATGCCGACCCTGCTCTTTCGTATATTCTCCATGTTTTTTCCTTCAACGTGGTGTGAGATACTGAAATTGACGTTTTACATTATCATCAATCACAAATTCCATATGCCCACAAGCTTTACCCTATGTCTATCCATAGGATTTGTGCAATTTTTATTCCAAATACAGTAGATACAAATGTGTTGATACAAAAATGTGGCGATGTGATCAACACATAGTAAGCCAGAAGATTTGAGTGGAACAAGACCAGAGATTTGCTTGGCTTCGACACAGAACCAGCCGATTCTGAAAACCCAACGACGTGCCAGTCAATTTAACGTGCAATTGACAAGGAGAGAAAATCTTATCAGTAATTTAAGGTGGAACATGTTGGTGTTGCACCAAACAGTTCTAAATATGTGGCTAGATAGCCGATTCAATAAGGCTATCGACTAAATAGTCGATATCCGGCGTATCCATAAGAAGCGATATAAGAAAACATCATCGGCTAAATGGAACATGATCGATATAAAGTGTCAAGCCGATAAGTTTGATAAAAAGAGTATAACATGCGAATAAATTGACTGTCTAATATAAATAAATCTACAAACAGTTTGAATCTAATCTATTATCATCTACAGTGCGGTTCGATCGGATCGATGCAGCTATAATAATGATAACAAACTAACTCCAAAGAATCTATAAAATCATCTATATGTTGAAAGATTCATGAAAACATGTTATATGCGTGAGAGTATAGGTAAATCGGCCGATCTAGCGGAATTAAGCCATCAATTATAAGATTTGAAGAGTGACCAGATCCGAGGACGACCAATTAAGATGATATGATGTCGATCTATCTCTATCTCAATAAGATGATTTATTATAATCAGTAAAACATTAATTATAATAAGATCAATAACTGATGAATCAACCAAAGACAGCAAGGAAAATCTTACTAATCTTAGCAGATTCGATAACTGGTGATATTGTATTAAACAACAAGTCATTTAATACAAGATCGATAACTTTGACCTATATTATTATTCGTAAGAGATCAATCAGCTGATGCAGCCTTACAAACTACAATACCGATGGATAACTAACTTATATTATGGCCCATAAAAGATCAATCAGCTGATGCAGCTTTACAAGCACAATACAAGTCATGACAGTACTCACAAGTAAGCTGGAGGTCGATCAGTCGATGCAGCCCTATTTGCTGAAGAACTCACCGAGATCTACAGTACTCCTACTTCTAATGTGATGACGAAAACTGGAAAGATTATATTGATTGTGTGTTCATCATTTCTTACAATAACTAGGGTCTAATATTTATATCCAGAACCTAAATATGAATCCTACTAAGATACGACTCATTACAATTCTTGAATAAAAGAAAACTTTCTAATTTAATAATAACTTGGACCCTAATCTTATTTGTAGAGTCCGACACATTTTCCTAGCGCCATTCAAACATAGCCCATTGACACCGTCTGCTGACGTCATCCATAAAATAGCCGATTCTGACATCACATCTAAATCAGTTGATATCGAATCACATCTAATCGATTCCTTGATGACACACTCCTGGAAGCTTCGCCGCGTTCTTCTTCCCAAATTTTGGTGTAAACACATGTCTCCATAATTTTGGGATAAAAATGATTTTATTTTAAAATTCCTATTCATCTGTTCACCGTGTTGTAACTGCTCACTCTAAAATAAACGCATGATTTCTGATCTCTCGGGCCAAATTCTATATAATACCCCAACAATATCATTTCCAGCTCGCTCGGCCTGCTTACTTTCCCCTTCTTTCTCGACCAAACTTCAACAGTCAAATCCGCCACCGCCAAAGCCTTAACCCTAGCAAATCCTCTGCTCTACCAAGCTGCCATTCAAGTGACCTTCAGATTCAGATCTATTTTGGCTACAATGGCAACTAGCGACCATGTTTCTGAGGTATGTCTTCAAACTTCTGCCTTTCAAGTGTTAGCCGCTACTCTGTACTTTCTCTTTTCTTAAATTTATCCCAACTTGTTTCTAGGAAATGAGGAATGAAATTTTGATTCCATCAGCCGTTGTTCCCATTGCCTATTATCTTGGACCCATGGGTGAACCTGGTCCATCCGATTTTATCAATCAAGAAACCAACCGAACTCTCTTCAAAAAATATGTAGTAGATTTGTCTTCTTGAAACACCAAGACTCCCTTTAGAAATTGACCCAAAATACCTAAGGGATGGAGGGATTGGTTTCATAGGGTATCAGAGAAAAAGGCTAGAGATTGGGAAATTTATGACTTGAACCAATACCTGACACTCTTGCTGTCTGGAATGGAAAGGGATGACTCACTTCTGATTTATGCATCTTACTTTTGGTACAACACTTTGAATGTTTTTGTTTTTGTCATGGTCCAATGACCATCACTCTGGCCGATATTTATATGTTGACTGGCCTTAGAATAACAGGATCAATGCAACCCTATGATTTTTAAGTGCTGGGTTCAAGAAATTAGCCAAAATATCTGACTACATAGGATGGGCAAGCTATATTCTGAACCATGTTGGGGATGGATCGATTATTAATGAAAAAGAATATATAGCTTTCCTGAACATGTGCCTGAAAAAATTTATCTTTTGTGGGCCATCTTGCGGACCAACTTATAATCATAAATACATGGCAGAACGTCTAGTAGCCGGCAATGAAATCTCCCTCGAAAAATATCTGCTGGGATCTGCTTATCACCTGATGCACCAAGTATCTGTTCAATTACTGAAAAATGAACCAGTGCATACCATCAGTGGCCCTTAGTGGCTAATATAATTGTGGTTGAATCTATACATACACAAGATTGCAAGACCTGATCTTAGTAATCTGAGCTTTCCTTCTTTCAACTTTGCTGAAGATTATAAAGGAAAAGAAGAAAGAACTCGACAATGTATGAATTATGGTGAAGTTGCATCAGCCATAACTAGTTCTGCCAGTCAAATTTCTATGTGAATTAGGCTGCTTAGATGAAACAGCTGCTGCAATTTTGAGCTGTATTATCAAACCCTGTGTACTGCCAGCCGAATTTCGTCATGGCCGTGGCAAGATGGCTACTGGTTCTTTTTTCCCAGATAATCTCCCAACTTATGAATTCTATAATCCTTCTTTTATGACCCGTCAATTCGGCCTTGGTCAACTACCTTCTCGACTATTCTTTAGGAATACTCTGAAGCCAAGAGAAGATATCAGTGAGATGATGGAAGCTTCTAAAGTTTTTCTATTGGGATCAGACCTTCCTTCCTTTTGCTGCATGAATGGACAAGAGCTACATTCTCCTCAAATTTGTTTGATTCCTGGTGGCAAGAATAACACTCTCACCTCTTCTGCAGTCCAATTCATCCCAACTGTTTGGCCCTGGATGAAGAATTTGCTTCTGATAGTGAGGTAACTTACTATTTTTCTTTCAAAAGGATTACCTAACAAGTTCTTCTATCAACTCATCTATCAAATTCTTTTGCAGGATACCAAATTTGATCTGCCAAGTGTGGACAGGAAAGGGCATCCCATAGAATACTATCCACCATGTCCAGCCTCAAGAATGGGATCAACTGCACCTACTCTAAAAAAGTTGATGAAAACCCCAGCTGTCCAAACAATACTCACATATCAGTCTTCAAAACGCAAGGCAACCCAAGGTGTAACTCAGAAAACCACCACTAGGAAGTGACTTCACAGAACAAAATCATCAATTACTTAGGTAACTTAACTTACCTTCCCTCTTAAGATGATATCCAACTTCTAATTCAATCCCTTCCTTGCAGCCATCGACTATTGCATCTCAATCGGCCTTGGGTGCTGAATTGTTGTCTCAGGCATTTGAATCGGCATCCACCAATCTCTCATCGGCTAATCCCCTAAGGAGCCGATTACAATTGAAACAATCGATGCTTCTGACAGACCCAAAATAGCAGAAGATGAGAACCTCTCTACTTCACCTCTTGATGCTACCAAGGTATCTCCTCAAACCTTTTAATCTTATGTAATCCTCACTCTTCTCTGATCAGTCTCCTTTATCAGATACCACCTGAGAAAATAGTTACACAAGAGCAAAGGTCTAATAATCCAACAATTGAAGATGATCCTATTGATGCTGATACCCAAACTATTGATTCTCCAACTCAGCAAATAGTCGATGGTAAGAAATTCATATGCTCACTCTTATCCTTTTATAACAAATATAAACCGAAAAACTTCTTGATGCCTACAGACACTAGCATCGAAAGTCTAGAGCCAATTCAACCAAATGTTGAAAAAGGTGTTGGCACAACATCGGTTGTTCCTTCTTCTCAGCCAGAGTCTCCTCCAGAA